AGTGGCTGGCTCTGTGTGTTGCAGGCCATGGCATTGGCACAGGAGCTACCACATGCCAGGCTCCCCATCCCACACCACAGGCTTCTCAGATCTCATTCCACACAGAGGGAGAGCAAGGGGGATCTTCTCTTGTCTGGTCAACAGGGGCAGTACCTCATTGCCCAAATATGTAGACATCCCAGACAACTGATGAAGGTACCCAGCCACCCACCCCTGCCCCCGACTTCAGCCAAGTGATACAGGACCTGTTACCTCATCATGAAGATGAGAAAAACTGGGACCAACAGTGGATGGGCCCCTGGGCCCCACCTCTGTCCTGCCTGTAGGTGTCCTCTGGTGTCCTCAGTGAGTTGGAAGGACACTCAGAGGGACCTGGCCCTTCCCTGGAGGAACACTAGTGGTAGCCTGTCAAGGCAAGGGCATGGAATATGACCCTCTTGAGGCTTCCCTGACCTCTGGTGCCAGTCACTTACCAGTCTGCCCTCGGTGCTGCCCTTCCAGGTTCTGATTACCAGCTCTAGGAGGTCGATGTCCAGGACACAGACATAATCTGAGGCAGAGGGCAGAAGGTTCTCACGGTCTCCATCCTCCCCGCCTCTGCACTACCCACCAGCAGAGTAAGAGTCCAGTGTGTCAAGCACAGCTGCGTGCGTGTGTGTGTGTGTGTGTACATGCACATATATGTAGCTAAGAACAAGCCAGCAGCTGGGTGACACCTGGCTGACACGCACATATATGTAGCTAAGAACAAGCCAGCAGCTGGGTGACACCTGGCTGCTCTCAGTGGGTCAGGGGATTGTCCCCTCAGTGTTGGGGGAGCCCAACTCAGGCCCTGCCTACCTCGCCGAAGATCGAGGGTCTCCACCTCACACTTGTCGGACAGATACAAAGCGGAGTCATCAAGGATGAACCTGGTGGGGAACAGGGCTGAGAAGGGCCCGGGAGCCACTGCAGGTGGCAGCTCAGTGGCAGCTGGGCAGAGGGGTAGGAGGGGTCCTGGAGGTGATGGGCAAAGAGGTCCAAGTGCCTAAGAAGCTACAGTGATGAGACCTTGACAGCCTCAGCACTGTTCTTTGATGGTCATAGAGGGCCTAGGAAGAGCCTGCAGGTACTTACTCTAATGGGACTTAAGGTACTCAAAAAATTTCTAATTCTGCATTGAACTTGGTTCCCAGTGTGTGGAGGATGCCCCGCCCCCCACCCCCATTATCTGTCTGCTCATGTGTCTGTCCATCTAGTACTAGGGATTGAATACACGGCCTGACCTGAGCTACATCTTTCTCGCCAAGCTGTCCAGGCACGATTCTCCAGCTTCAAAAGGAGCTGGGATCACACACCCACTCCATTAGTATCAGCTTTTAAATTTTCTTTTCTCATTTTTTTTTCATTCTGACAAGTACTTGTGTTTGAACCTGTTCTTTCCTCCTTGGTACCTCCTGATGGTATTACAGGCTTATGCTACTATGCCCACCTAGCATATTTTTTAAAATATTTAGGCTGGCAATGCAGCTCAGTTGGTAGAGATTTTGGTAGAGCACACATGAGGGCCTGGGTTAAATTGCCATCACCACTAAAATAAAACTTTTCTTTCTTTTTTTTTTTTGAGATAGGGTTTCTCTGTGTCTTTGGAGGCTGTCCTGGAACCTAGCTCTTGTAGACCATGCTGGTCTTGAACTCACAGAGATCCGCCTGCCAATGCCTCCCGAGTACTGGGACTAAAGGCATGCACGGCTACCGCCCAGCTAAAATAAAACTTTTTAAAGCTTTTTTTTTTTTTTTTTAATCTAAAATTTCCCAGTAGACATTCTACTGTGGCTCTTTCCTTCCTTTCTGGTGCCTGGGTGGAGCTGCACCTCATTTGGTCATGCACTATGTTTTAGCTTTCCATTCTTCTGTATGCTTTTAGAACTCCCAGAATCGAGATTACAAATCCAGGACACTAAGGCTCAAGTCTGATTTTGAGTAGAAGTGGAAACAACTCACATTCCTGAGGACATGTGAGAATATGGGGCACTATCACCCCAAATACAGATGGCCCCAAGAAGCTCTGAGTAGACAGGCATCAGGAAGTTAGCCATAGCCCAGCTCGGAGTGGGATGGCCCAGGTCTGGGGCAGCCTGCATACCTGAGCAGGAAGGTAGAGGTGTCCATGACAATGTTGCTGGAGAGGGTGAAGGTCTCAGCAGTGATGAGGACTCGCACAGGGAGGTAGAGGGGCCTGAGGGGGCAGAATTGGGCTGGAGCAGGCTCCTTACATCTGAGCTGGCCCCTGACCCTGTATTCCCTAGCCCCCCAGTGTGGGTACCTGTAGTCCACAGCACAGGAGAATAGGTGTGTGTGGAGAATAGTGATGACTGTTGGGGGCAGATAGCCCAGCACAGGGTCATCCAGGACATCCAAGAAGTCCAGTAGCTACACAGGCCAGAGTGAGAGATGGGGTGGGGGCGACAACAGTGAGGACAAAATGACTTCTTCCTCTAATACTGGCCTGGCCCCCTTCCCATTGCCCATCAGCTGTCCACCACACCACTTGTCAGGAGCTCTGACCAAGGTCAACTGCAGTTCAGTCTGTATTTTTCACACTGGCCTTTTTAGGCCATATTTGACCTGCTTGCCCAAATCAGAAGTCCAGAGCCTCAGGGCCGGATGACCTCCCAGGTTCTTTTGCTCACCTGGGAGTGCCAGCTCTGCTCAGGTGGGGCCATGTAGTGGCGTAGAGTGGCTTTGTGTAGCCTTATTGTCACCAAAAACTCCTGGGGAAGGAGGTGCAGTCAGTCAAGAGGGAGGGTGGGGTCCAGCATCAGTGTACAGCAAGGAGGCAGTTGCCCAAGTCAAGTGGGTCGGTGAGCAGCAGAAGAATCCATACCTTGACATTCTTGTGGGGGTCCAGGTGGATTCGGACAGCTGCAGACAGCATGCGGGGGCCCTGGCCCTTGCGTCCTAAGGCTCCCCGTTCAGTCACCCCTTCTTCTGATGGGTAGATGGTTACAGCCAGCTGAGCCGGGGGAGCAAAGCTGGGTAGTTCCAGGTGAGTGGGCAGCAGGTAGTCCTCCACGACCGCTGCGGAGGAATCTTGTGAGCCCTGTTGAGCCTGCTGAGCACCCCACTCACAGCCCACAGCCCTCCTGAAATCGCCCTTGCCCGGCCTGATAAGTACTGCAGTGGCCCCACACCTTGATGGTAGAGTGTGGCCTTTTCAGCTTCCAGGCAGAAGTAGCCAAGCCCGGGTTGGCCGCGGTACTGGGTGACGCTGAAGATGGTGCCCTGCTCCACGTCTAGCACCAGCTCCCCGTGAGTGACATCCAGCCGCTTCCCTGTCTCATCCTGCAGAGGAGCAAACACTCAGCTCACTGCCGAATCCAGCATTGCTAACACCCGGAGACTGGCCTGAGGCAGCTCTGGCTCTTTTCAGACTTCACTTCTAGTCTGCACCATGTGTAGCTAGCTGAAGGGGAAGGCCACGCCTCACCCTGCTGGCATTGGGACCCCCATTCTTTTTTATTTTATTTTTTTTTTTTTGGTTTTTCGAGACAGGCTTTCTCTGTGTAGCTTTAGAGCCTATCCTGGCACTCGCTCTGGAGACCAAGCTGGTCTCAAACTCACCGAGAGGGACCCCCATCCGTACATGGAGGAAAGGCTGGGGAGTGGCTGACAGCTGTGAGGGGTGGTGAGTGGTTTGGGTGGGTTCACTGGGTAATAGGTGCTGCTGGCCTGCTAAGCTTTCTGCTCTCTCGGTTCCTAACTTGAAGTTGGCAGGAACGCTCTGGAGTTGGGCTGCCTCACCTTAGCCTCACAGAGTGCGGTAATACGACCCTTCAGCACTGTCACAAGTGTGGAGAAGGTACTCTGGGACTGACGATGGGAAGACTCAGGGGCAGGAGTATGGGGGGCACCCGATGCCATCGAGAAGAACTGGGTATCTTCTTCATCCGAGTCTGAGTCTGAGTGAACAAGTTGGCTGGGTGGAAAGGAGATGTGGAGGGCTGGCCCAGCCCTGCCCATACCTGGACTCCTCCCCATCTAGCCAGCATTCCTCTCGTACCCAGCTTGAAGGCCGACTTGCACATCCTGAACCCCAGTGAGCCAGGTGGCTGAGTGGCAGTGGTGGACTTGGGAAGCAGGTCTGCAGGCTCCCACATGAGCAGGTCATTGTTGATCCTGACATGGGAGCAGTAGCAGAGGTAAGAGAGGACAGGGCCTTCAGCCCAGCCCAGTCCAGCCTACCCCATGTCTCCACCTGTTGTAGATGCTTTCGTAGACCTCCTTGCTGGGCAGGAAGATGTGGGCACTGGGCATGATCACATCCACGGTACAGTGGGACATTGCCAATGTCTGGCTCTGGAATGTCCTCATCTCCTCGGGATCTCCAGGGATCACCATCTAGACAGGTGAGAAAAGTCAGCCAGGAGACCTGCCCCAGGCCTGTATCTGGCTTCAAAATTGGAGATTCTGGCATCCATCCATCCATCCATCCATCCACTAGTTAGTTCATCCATCCATCTATCCATTGGTGCCCTCTCTCCCAAGGTGGAGGACATTCACTTGGGACACAGGGCCCAAGCATTTCCTCATGAACGTGAATCCTGGCAGTCCTCACAATAGCCTTCAAGACAATTCCACAGGAGGAAACACACAATCCACCAAGGAGCAGAGCCTGTCCAGGAAGCCAGTTGGTCCTGCTCCAGGGTCTCCACTGCCTCACACTTAGCACTTGTACCGGTCAACTTCAGAAGAGGATGCTGAGGCCCAAGTGTACCACCGGAGTTAGATGGCTGAAATGGCCTGAAGGGCCTATCCCTGGTGTGCTTGCCTCCCTACCCCAAGCAAGGGTGGGTTCCTCAGGGTCCCTTGTTACTTGGAACAGGAGATGCTCCTCTCAGCAGTGGCCCCCATGCTATGTATGGCCCAGTCCCACAGTGGCATCCACAGTAGAGAAAGTCGGGGAGCCTCACCTCCTCAGTCTCATACATGGTCCTCTTGGAGGAGAAGGGTGAGGGCTCAGGCTGCCGCAGCTCACAGGGACTCTCAGTGGACAGTTCTAGGTCCCGGCCTTTCTCAGAGGCTGTCTCCCACTGTGTGCCACTGGACTGGGGGTTCAGGGTCACCACTACCCTGCCAGGACACAGACCGGTTAGTGCCCTGCCACCAAAGCCAGTAGATCCCTCCTCTACAGCTGCCCTTTCCAGCACTCCTCTTACTGAGGTAGAAAGTACTTGGTCCTAGTGCTCCTGGGATCCAGAGCTTTAGAGACTCGCAGGCAGGGGACAGGTGGCTTCTCTCCATCTTCATAGATTCCTGGAGGGGACCGAGAAGACAGGGTCTCATTGCTGCCTCTTTCCTTTTCCTCCCCATTTCTGGGTCAGGTCACTGTTCCTGGGATAAATGGGCCTCTCTGCCTGTGTTGGGGTCTTCTCCAACTGTAACCCAGACCCTTCTGTAACCTCAAACCCACCTTTCCAAGAGGTCCAGGCCTCTGCCCCAGCTGTTGCCTGGCTACCCTTACCTTGTAGATCTGAGCAGGTAAGTTCCAGGTGAGTGGGAGCTGGGGGACCAGGGCCACTGTTGAGCTCTGAACGGAACTGGGGCTCACTCAGCTCCAATCGCAGCTGCTCAGCCCGCACAGCCTGGCCAGCCCAGGGATCCCGCTCAGGCCGTAGGTCTGGGATGGGGAAGCGTAGCCTAAGGGTGGCCCGGGGTGCTGAGAGCCGAAACACTGTCTGCTGCTCGGTGGCCTGTGGGGGCTCTGTCTGTGGAAGGGCTGGAGGTCAGAGCTGTCACAGGGGACTGAATAGAGCTTTAGTGCCAGCTTCCCACCCCAGCCCAGAAGCAGCAGGGCAGCTCACTAGCAGGCCAGCGGGTGGCTCAGAGGGTGTGGTGGTTTGACGAAGCAAGGTAGCAAGTCGGTCCAGGGACCCCAGCTCCACATCAGCTTGAAAGTCAGCTAGGTCCAGGGACAGTTCTGAATGGCAATGGCAGGCAACGGATCGCCGGGATCGGCTCTAGTTGGGGGTAAGGTGATTAGGTCAGCTATGATAAGTGATGTTAGGGTGGGAAGGGACTCACATAAACCAAAACAAGGCTTCCCAAGGGTAGGAGAGGAGCTGGGATAAGAGCCACAGCAGAGGACAGAGGGGGCTTTATATGCCCATAGTGCTAGGGACCACTGTGCTACCCTGGCTCCTTTTTTTTAAATTAAAAAACAAAACAAAACAAAAAAAACACCATGGTACGCTTCATGACTTTGCATGTCATCCTCGAGCAGGGGCGCCACAGCTCCTTTTTAACTTTGAGACAGGACCTCATTAAGTTGGTTGGACTGGTCTTGAACTCAATCTGTAGCTCAGCCAGGCCTCCAACTTGTCACCTTCTGCCTCAGCTTCCCAAATGCTGGGACCACAAGCCTGTGCCATTACACCCAGATCACGCCGGCTTATACAAAAGCTACCAGTACTTGGCTCTGTCAACCTTAGAGGTTCAACATAGGCAGGGAAGGGGAAATCAGGCCACAGTAATAGCAAGGTCAGAATGAGAACAGATATACAAGAGTCCCTGAAGAGAAAGAGGTAGTTTGGTTGGGACAGGGAGTGGTTACCTTGAGCACCCGGCGCACGGTCTGTGTGTGGCGCAGGTGGGCACAGGGTCGAGCTGAGGCTTGGGAGCCCGAGTGCCTGGGGAAGCTCAGGATCTACAAGGGACACACAAGGTTAAACAAGGTCAGGCTGGCCTAAGCCCTGTCTGACCCCCAGGCCTCCCTTTGCCCTCACCTCTGTGTACTCTGGCTCTGAGGTGGCCCTGGGCTTTGCCCTCACCTCTGTGTACTCTGGCTCTGAGGTGGCCCTGGGCTTTGCCCTCACCTCTGTGTACTCTGGCTCTGAGGTGGCCCTGGGCTTTGCCCTCACCTCTGTGTACTCTGGCTCTGAGGTGGCCCTGGGCCACAGGCACTCCAGCACCTCCAGCTGCCCGAAGTGCACATCTGTGCTGCTCGTCCTCCGACTGTGGCCACCAGTCCGCAGCTCCCAGGACAGCTGCACGGCTGTGCCTGTTAGTCTGTGGGCAAAAATATAAGCCTCAGGGGTGAGCTGTGGGCTCTGGGTGTTCCCTGCAGGTCCCTGACTCAGGCTGTGGTGTGTACCGGACATGACTACAAGGGCAGGCCCTTTGGAAGCGTGGCCGGAGGAGGTGGAAGTCTCGGGAGATGAAAGGCCCATCTTTGGCAGCATCAAACTCAGCAAAAAAGTGGGTGGTGAGGTCAGGTGGTCCTGAAGATGGGGCAGCTGTCTGAAGCAAGGTCAGGGTCACACCTCCCAAGGTCATCTTCAGCAGTGAGTCAGGGCGCATGGTGTCAGGAAGAGGAGCTGGGGCCGTCTTGCCTGGAGGAATAGAGGCTCCAATAGGGGCTGCTCCTGGGTATCTTAAATGGATTCACAGTTGGCCACTGAGCAGAGGGTTGGAGAAACCCTGGCTAGGCTGGGCATGGTGGCACACACCTTTAATCCCAGCACGCAGGAGGCAAAGTCAGGAAGTCAGGAGGATCTCTGTGAATTCAAGTTCAGCCTGGTCTATATAGGGAATTCCAGGCCGGCCAGCCAGGGCTACATAAGTGAGACCTTGTCTAGAAAAAGAGGAGGAGAAGAGGAAGAAGGGGAGGAGGAAGAAGAGAAGGAGGAAGAGGAGGAAGAAGAAATAAGAAAGAAACTGGCTAAACTAGACTATAGGAGGCCATAACCATTGTACCACCTGTGCCTGGAAGGGCCGACACCTGATTTCATTGTATGCCAGGCCCTCTGACCAGGCTCAGTCTAATCCTCTGAAGGTGCTAGAAGGATCAGTTGATCCTATACCAGTCTTTGACCTACACACTTAACTAAAACATACAGCCTGATCTTCACTATGCCCTTTTGTAGAAAGGTGAACTGAGTCCAAAGAGCTGGAGTTCCTGGCCAAAGCACTCACTAAGAAACCTAGCCTATGGGCTGGAGAAATGGTTCAGCAGTTAAGAACACTGGCTGCTTTTCCAGAGGTCCTGAGTTCAATTCCCAGCAACCACATGGAGGCTCACAACCATCCACTATGAGATCTGGTGCCCTCTTCTGGCGCTCACATACAGCATACAAACTTCTACAGGCATCATTAAGACCTCTTGCATGTATCTGAATCGCTCACATACAACATACAAACTTCTACAGGCATCATTAAGACCTCTTGCATGTATCTGAATCTGACACCCCACGACCCCTGAGGCCATTTCCACCCCACTTCTAGCACCTAATGGGTCGACTTACCACCTGAATGGGTTGGGGTAGAGGGCCGGTGGAAGGTCATGTTACTGTGAGCAGAGGAGCCCAGGTCTACACTGTACATGGAGAGCTCAGAAATAGCCGAGGTCACACTGCTTGTGAGGCCAGCCATGGAGAAGAAGAGGTCTGGGGATAAGGTGAGGGGCAGTCAGGAATAGATAGGCTGGGCCCCTGGCTCTTACACTGACGCAAGCTGCCCCTTCCTTTTGCAAGGGCCTGGCACCCACCAGTACTGTCCACATTGAGGGAGTTGGTGATGGGGTGTAGGCTGAGGGACTCAGCAACAGCACCCGCCTGCAACTGTTGGTTCAGATCCTGCTCAATGAGCCACAGGTCTTCAGCACCCAGTGGACGGCTCTTGTTTAGTTTGTCGGCCAGGCCTCCTGGGTCTGTAGGAAAGATGTTTCAACACAGCCTACAAGGTTATCCCTAGCTCACCCCACTGCCACCCAGGGCTCAGCAGGCTTACCCGCAAGGTTGATGGCACTGAGCAGTTCTTGAAGCTGCTGGAGCTGGCGTGGGGTCAAGAGCAGGTGCAGGGAGCCCAGCTGTCCTGATACCTCCATCTGGGGACAGAGTGGACAGCTGTGGAGCCCTTACATGCCACCTACCCCAAGAACAGCAACCTACCTACCCATACCCTGGGGAGGTGAGATACCAGCTGTAATTTGAAATTTGCTACCAAGCAGTTGCATAGATTTGGCCAACCTGATCTTTCAGAGTCTCTGTTTTTTCAGTTGCCAAGAAGATAGCAATGCCCACCCCTCATCCTCACTGCAAGAACTGGAAGTAAGCTGGGCGTTGGTGGTACATGCCTTTAATCCCAACACTCAGGAGGCAGAGGCAGGAGACTAGCCAGGTCTACAGAGTGAGTTCCTGGACAGCCAGGGATACACAGAAAAACAAAGCAAAATAAAACCCCCCAAAACCTGGAATTATTCTGTAGTCCAGGCTGGACTCGAACAGAAGGCAGCCTTGCGTTAGGCTCCAAAACGTTGGGATTACAGGTATGAGCCACTATACCTGGCTCCTCCTCCTGGCCTGGGGCCAATCAGCTCAGCACTTCTGGGAATGGACCTAGGATGGGTCAAACTCTTAAGGCCTGGAACTCACCTTGGGGCCTGGGAAGGCATCGTTCTGCTTCAGCTTCACCATTAGCTCCATGTACCCTGTGCAGCTACCAATCTGCAAAGGGGGCTTTGGCGGGTCCACCTGGGAGGGCAGCTCCTCAAAGTGCAGGCGAACCCCTGACAGCTGTAGGAGCTTGTGCAGAAAGGCAGGCGGCTGGTGCACGTCCACAGGCGGTGCCTGGCTTGGGTCCCGCACCGCTTCATCACAGTACTCCAGGCTGGGGAGTGAAGGTTCTGGCCTTGTCTAGATAGCCCTAGGCCGGAAGCCCCTCTTTAAAGATGTTCTAGGGGCATGCTGCTTCTCAGAGTCCTTAGACTCAGTCGCTTTGGGCCTGTACCTTCTGGCCCTAGGTACCAGTGCAGGCTCTCAGCAGAGCCCACTTCCTCAATCTCACCAACCCTGCACCCCCCCCCCCCCCCCCCCCCCTCTCAGGAACTGGGAATGAGGCATTTATCTTCCCTCATTTCCCTTCATTCCTCACCTCTGTACCCGGATCTCCACAGCCATGCCGCGTTCCACATCACCCACTGAGTGCTCCACCCTTACAACAGTGTTCAGAAAGGTCACCTTGATCCTCCGAAGCACTGTGGACGAGCATCTAGAGTTAGGCGGTGCAGCAGGAAGCAAGACAAGTTCCTGCCACTCTGGGAAACAAGGTAGTTACCATGCTACTGCCTAGAGCCCCACACCATAGACTGTGGAGGGCCCAGGAACAGACTAGCAGCAGGGGCATGCTCACCAGTCTCAATGGTCTGTGCAAACATTTCCAGCCCCTCCAGGGGCTGAGGTGGTTCTGAGGGTTCTGGCAGCCCTTCACGCAGGCACTCTTGGGCCAGCTGCAGGCTTGTGGTCATGCAGGAGGAACAACTCTGAGAGTCAGCAGCCCCTGGTCCTGAGGGAAGGAACAAGAGCTCAGGGTAGAAAGACCCAGACAGTTTCTGGGTCATTCTCAGCAACTTCCCACCGTTGATCTTGCCCTGCTCTCACCTGGTCCCTGGCGGGGCTGCAAGATAAGTTGGAGGCCCGATACACATACAGTACAGTGGTCAGTGAGGAGCGCAGCCCAGGGGACAGCCACCTCGATGGAACTCACGAAGCCTTCCACCAGTTCCAGTGGTGACTCCATCGACCGCAGGACTTCGTTCACAGACTGGGCAAGAGGCAAGGTAAGTCAGCTCACTGAAACTCCAAATATGGCTGCCTGCCACAGTCTTGCACAGCCATTGTCTTGGAGAACACTTTGGCGTGATCACCCTCTTCTTTGACCCTGACCTGTTTTCATCTCACCATCAAACTTTGTTCAACCCTTTGGTCCAGCTAAAAAGTTTCCTTCTGGAGCTAGAGAGTTTGGCTCAGAGGTTAAGAGCACTGCCTGCTCTTCCAGAGGTCCTGAGTTCAGTTCCCAGCAACCACATGATGACTCACAACCATCTGTAATGAGATCTGGTGCCCTCTTCCGGCTTTCATGGGTACATGCAGACAGAACACTGTATACATAATAAATTAATAAAAAAATCTTTAAAAAAATAAAAAGTTTCAGCCAGGTGTTGGTGGCGCACACCTTTAATCCCAGCCCTCGGGAGGCAAAACCAAAACAAAAAACAAAACAAAAAAAAAGGTTCCTCCTGTTAGGTTCAAGGCTTGGTGGCCAAAATGCCTTTAATCACAGCACTCAGGAGACCAGCCAGATCTACAGAGTGAAACTGGGTATGGTGAGACTCACTTGTAATTCTAGCACCAGAAAAGCAGAGGCTGGAAGATCAGGAGTTCAAGGCTATCTATCCATTTTGAGTTAGAAGTCAGCCTGGGCTACAAGAGACTATGCACACTTTTTTTTTTTTTTTTTGGTTTTTCGAGACAGGGTTTCTCTGTGTAGCTTTGGAGCCTATTCTGGCACTCACTCTCAAGACCAGGCTGGCCTCCTGGCCTCGAACTCACAGAGATCTGCCTGCCTCTGCCTCCCGAGTGCTGGGATTAAAGGCGTGCACCACCAACGCCCGGCTCAACTATTCACACACTCTATGTGGCAACCAGAGGTTGCAGGGCTAGGTAATAAATGTCTTTACCTCCCAGTCTGGCTAGGCGGTAGTTTCAGAAGTGAGCAAGCACCAGGAAGGGGTGAACAGAGCCTGCACCTAGCCAGCAGGGCATACCAAGAAGGGGCAGTTGAAGAACGAAGAGGAAGCAGCCAGGCAGAGGGAATAATGGTGGCTTATTCGAGACACAAGAACAAGGAGGGACCCAGTCAAGGGAGCAGCAAGCAAAGAGTTTAAGGGTATAATGTACAGGAGAGGGATCGACTCGAGGCCACATAGGCCCTGAGTCCTAGACCCATGGTGGAGCTGTACATTTCTTTGAGACATAGGGTAAAAATGTCTGTGCTGGGGTTGCATCCCAGCCAGCTTGAGGGCATACTCCTAAGGGCATGAGTCACTGGCCTTCTCTCTCTATGACCCCAGGTACTCTGGGTGGTACCAGAGAAGGCCTCAGTAAACACCTGCTGGGCCCTTGAATAAACAAACACAACCAGAGCCAGGAGGCAAGAGGAGACCCATTCAAAATTTCTCATCCATGGATGGGGAAACTGAGGCCTAGGCTTAGTCACTCCAGGTACAATGAAAACTGAGACTGGGACCCAGGCCTTGCTTCCCATCTCAACTTAGTCCCTGGGCATGTGGTGTCTCACTAAGGCCTTCTAGGTAGGGGCTGCAAGGTGAATAGCTAGCTGAGAGAGGGTTGGGGCCTGTGCTGTCAGGAGAGAGGCCAGAAAAACAGCCAGTGCCATCGACTCCTCTAAAAAGGAGCATGAAAGAGAACTGGAAGCAAAAAGGGGGAGTCCAGATGATGGGATCTCTTTCAGGGCAGCCTAAGAGGCTGAAGGAAGAGGTCAGTGGCCTCCTATATCAGGCCACTAGGAGATGCCAACTTTACAACTTATTCATTCCCAAGGCACGTCCCACCTCTAGCTCTTTCTGAGCGGAGCTGCAAGCCCAGAGGCCAGCTAAAAAAGAGAAAGCCTGCCACATGCCCATCCCACAGTTCTGGAGCTGGAGGGATGACCCCCATACCAGCCCCAAGCTGGAACCTCTAATTGGTGGCTCCTTGGCTACTCCCCAGTCATCTGAGCTGTGAGTCAGTGCCCCTCATCTGCCACCCCCAGCCTCCAGTCCCTGACTCCACATCATAGGCCTCAGACCTTCTAAGCATCATCTTCTAGAATCTCATCCCACCTTCTGTCCCCACCCGCAGCCTGCCGGAGGCTACACCTCAACACCTCCCTGCAGGGCGGCCCTGCAGGTGAAGATGCCAGGAATCAAATCCCTCCCCAACCCAAGCTAGGTCCCTCCCACTCTCCCAAAAGCAGGAAGTAGAGAGCAGCAGCAGTCACACGAGGAGTGGATCAACACAGCAGGCAGTGACGCTGTTGTTGACATCCACATCCGGGGGCGATCGCCACCCTTTATGCCCAGGATCATAGGGGTCAGGAGGTCAGGATACATTTTCTACAGGTGCCCCGGGCAGGGCTCTTAACGCCCCCCTAAGCCTCCCCTGACTGACTACCCCAGTTCCAACTCTGTCACAATCTTTGCCGGCTCCCCCCACCCAGTTTTTCTCGGCTCCTCTCAACTCTCGGGAATCCCCTTCCCCAATCCCCTAAATCCACATTGACAATGGTGGCATCCTCTTGGCAAGTGACACCCATTCCCCAACCTGTTTCTCCCCTGAGGAGCGAAAAAGGGAACTCCTCTCCTGGTTTCTGGTTAAAGAAGAACCAACCAGGGGGTCTGACGGAGGCGGTCGGGACCCACTGGCCTCTGCAAACAGTGCCTGTCCTCCAGGCCAAACCTTCCGCGAGGACCCCTCCGGTGGCCGTGCTCCCTCCCCCCGCTCTCCTCCTCACCCAGGTCTCCAGGTGGATATCCCGCAGGGCAACGCTGCCCTTGTACAGATCCAGGCTGAGCTGGTCTAGGCTGAGGTGCTCCTGAAAGAAGTGACCCAAGTAGTGCTGTAGCAAGTAGCGGCAGACACGCTCTTTCACACAGTTCGACCATGGCCACAGCCATCGTGACATCTCGGGGAACGCCGGGCCCAGGCCGCTTCCTCCAGCCGCCAGCCAGGGACCTCCGTCCGGCTGCGTTGTTCACTAGAGCCCCAGGTTTGCCCCGCCGCTTCTCTCCGCGCCAGGCCGCGCCCCGGACGCCCAGCCACGCCCCCACGCTCAGTGCCATTGGTCATTGCAAAGGGCGAGGCCCGCTGATTGGCCGCAGGAGGCGGAGCCTTGAGGGGCGAAAAAAGGACTGGGTTCCCTGCGAGATAAAGTGCTCCAATCATGGTTTACGCTTGCGCATAAATTCTGTGTGGGCGGACCTTTAACCTCCTTGCTACAAGCTGCGGAAAGGCTGTAACCGAAAGGCGACTGTCAGGCCGGGGGGAGTGCGCATGTGCGGACTTATCCAACTTTTGGTGATTGGAAAGAATTTAAAGGGACAGTGACCCACACATAACTTTGTAGACCGCTGATGAGAGGAGTAAAGTCAGTGCGAATTCTGCAGGGTGAATTTTGGCAACAAATACATACTTGCAGTTTATAAAACTTTTTTTTCTTTTTTTTAGGGGGGGGAGGTTTTCGAGACAGGGTTTGGCTTTGGAGGCTGTCCCGGAACTAGCTCTTGTAGACCAGGCTGGTCTTGAGCTCACGGAGATCCGCCTGCCTCTGCCTCCTGAGTGCTGGGATTAAAGGCGTGCCCCACCAACGCCCAGCGCAGTTTATAAAACTTTTTAAACTGTTTATCTCATTCAGTCATTAACAACTGTCCAGAGGAACTTGTTTGTTTGTTTGTTTATTGAGACAGGGTTGATGTAGTCCTGGCTGTCCTGGAATTCAAATGCGTGCCTGCCTCTCTGGAAAGCTGTGATTAAAGGAATGTGCCCCCACCCCATCCCCACCCCCACCCTGGTCCCAAGAAATTACTTTTCCCAAAGTCTAGCATTTAGACAAAAGCCAGCATTTCTTCAGGGCCTTATCTCTGGCAAAAGGGACATCTGGCTCCTCCATCAAAATATGCTCCCGGCGCCTAATAACATATCAAGGACTATGTCGGCCTCCAGGTTCCCTCAGTCCGTACTCACAAGCACGGGTTACATTACAGAATCACCCTGGCTGGCATACCCCGTCCCCTAAACCTCTCCAGCCCAGGGGCTTCGCTTCCCCTCCCCCAGCTTCTGATTCCTATATAACCCTGCCTTTTTGGCCACTTTGCCCTCTTGGTTCCCCTCCCTTTCCCCTCCCTTCCCTCTTCTCTCAGGGCCAGGTTCGGTCAGTCTACTTTCTCTCCCTGCTCTGAACTCCTCCAGATACCTCTGGGCTGCTCTCTTCCTCATATATACAATAAAAACCGTCTCCTCAACCATACCTTGGAGTGGTCGTGTGTTCATTTTCATTCAATTTACTGTTGCTACCATTTCAAGGGCTAGAAAATAGAATTAGGAAGGTTGCTCAGCCCATCACTAGGAAGGTATGTTGCCCCCCCTTACAGAGGAATGCACAGCAGGGGGTTAAAGGACCTCCCTTTAGGGGCCCTCTCTGAAATAATGGCTTTTCATATTTCTAATCCTAAAATCAATAATTCAACTTCTCCAAAGCAGGGAGCTGCTGTTTCCTGCAGCCTGGAGGCTAAAAATGATTTGGAAGCTTTTGTTTCCTTGTTGTTTCCTCATTCTTGTTTTGAGACTAGGTCTCACTGTGTATTACTGGCTGGTGTGGAGTTCACCAAATAGATGAGGCTGGTCTCAAACGTGTGAGGGATGATCCTCCTGCCTCTTGAACTGTTCTGTTCTTAAATGGTTGGGGAGAAATGGAACGGAAAATAACAGTTCATGATGTGGAAAAAAATGTCTCTCAAAATTCACTTTGGTGCTCATACACTATTGGTGAGCACAGGCTAACTTGAAGGGACCAGCTCCCCATTTCAGCAGCCATGACAGTAACACGTGCTTGCCATGACCTTGCCTTGGTCACTAAGAGGTCAGATGCCTGTCTCATGGCAAGGAACCAATCAGAAGTTAGCTGGTGGTGCTATGCTTTACGGCTCTGGGTGTGTTTTACGGACAAGCACACAGCAATGACGCACAGAGCAACCACCCTGAGAGGGCCTATGGGCCATAACAACCAATTGACCAATCAACACAGGGCAAACCCTCCAGGCCTGGAGGTACACCAATCCTGAGCCTGTGCGTACTCCTAGACACTCCCCTTACGCTGTCCTCTAAGATGTCCTATGCAGCCGCTTTGAGCTGACTTTCTAGTCATCCGCCATGGTAGGTGGATGAAATACCCAAGCTAACATAGGGTTAGCTCTTTAAACAACTATAATAAAGCCTCATGCAGTTTGCATCAAGCTTTCACCTCTGCCTGGTGATTGGGGTGACCGAGGTCCTGGGCTGAGATCCTGGGGGCCTGAGCTTCTGGGGGTCTTTCAAACTCACTTACTAAATGGAGTCTAGGCTGCTTTCCTAATACAGAGGCAGAGTTTGGGAATTGAGATTGGGTCAGGGACCTACAAAACCTAAAATATGTATCTTCTGATCATTTTCAGTAAAAGTTTTCCCACCTCCCTTCTATGGAGTTGGCCACCGAACCTTTTCTATAATGAGAGACATAAAGACGACCATGAGTAATTGTGATTCTGTTCTAGCTTTGAGAGAGTTTGGTTCTCAGAATAGTGCTAAAATTCAGCTTGACGGAGTCTCACAAAGGCTTGATCTATTTGTTTTTTTTTTTTTTTTCTACTGGGAATTGTGGCTGCAGCAGGCCTTGCCTAGCAGGTATGTAGCCTTTCCTGGGTCCACACCGCATAAACTGGGTGTGCTGCCTTACAACTCAATAATCCCAGAGTTTGAGAGATGAGGGCAGGAGATTCAGATGTTCAAGGCCATCCTCCTCTAGACCACCTCCAGGTTAGTCTGGGCTGTGGGAGACACTTTCTTAAAAACTAACGAACCAGGAATGGTGGTGCACAACTTTAATCCCAGCATTAGGGAGGCAGAGGCAGGTGGATCTCTGAATTGGATGGCAACCTAGTCTACAGAGCGAGTTCCAAGACAGCCAGGGCTACACAGAGAAACCCTGTCTTGGAAAAAAACAAACTTTCTAGAAGCAAGCATGAGCAAAAGTCCTAGCCTGTGACAGAAACCTGGCTTCCTCTCAGTTCTTGGTAGCCTTGGCAAGTTATTAATTTCTGAGCTTTAAGACCAGGTCTCACAGCTAGAGCTGGTCTCAAATGTGTAGTCAAGGCTGGCCTTGAACTCCTAATCTCCTCTGCTGCCTTTGATGTGTGCTTTCAGGCATGCTTCATCAGGCTCAACATTGAGATGTTTCATTTTACTTATCTGTTTTTTTTTTTTTTCTACTGGGAATTGAACCCAGGTCCTTGTACACACTAAACAAACACTCCCACTGAGCTGTATCTCCTGATTAGCCTTTCTTTTTCTTTTCTTTTTCTGAGACAGGGTCTCTCTGTGTAACAGTCCTGGCTGTCCTGGAACTCACTCTGTAGACCAGGCTGGCCTCAAATTTACAGAGATCCACCTGCCTTTGTTTCCCAAATGTTGGGATTAAAGGTGTGCGCTGCCACCACCACCACCACCACCACCAGGCCCCCTTCTTTTAATTTTTTTTTGGGGGGACAGGGTTTCTCTGTGTGGCTTTGGAACCTATCCTGGAATTCACTTTATATACCAGGCTGGCCTCGAACTCACAGAGATCTGCCTGCCTCTGCCTCCAGAGTGCTGGGATTAAAGGCGTGAGCCACGGATGCCCAGCCCACCAGACCTTTCTTATGTTAATACCCTCCACCTTTATGTTAGAATGGCACCAGGGCAGCTCATTATGTGGAAGGGGTTTCAAAGAGCATCCAAGAGAATTGGGAAACTCTGTAAAGGCCCCATTCAAAGAGACAGATCAATGGGGGTAGCCATTTGAAAATATTTGTAGAATGAATCAAGACATCTATCCATTCTTGACAGGCCTGAGCAGCTGTAGTAGTAACAGGTGGACAAAGTTCAGGCTAGGAATGTAGTTCAGTTGGTAGAGCACTTGCTTAGCATGCATGAAGCCCTGGGTTTGATCCCCATCATTACATAATGTGGACATAGTGATGCCAAATTTGTAATCCCAGCCCTGGGAGGTAGAGGCAGAAGGGTCAGAAGTTCAAGACAACCAACCCTTTGCAACATAACAAGGCTAAGGCAAGTCTGGGCTATCTGAGACCATTTCTTGAAAAAAAATTAACTGTTAATAATAGAACAGGTGAAATAGTTCACACCTGCAATCCTAGAAATTGGGAAAGAAAGAGGATGGCTGTAAATTCAAGGCCAGCCTGAGCTACAGAGTGAAAAACCCAAACTGATTGTCCTATGCCTTTGATCCTAGTACTCAGGAAGGAGAAGCAGGTGGGGCTCTGTGGATTCCAGGCTGGCCTGGCTTACATAGTGAGTTCCAGGAAAGCCAGAGCTACATAGAGATACCTTTCCTATTTCAAAATAAACAAATAATTTGAGCATGTGCAGGGCATGGTGGCATACACCTTTAATCTCAGGACTCAGGAGGCAGAAGCAGACAGATCTCTGTAAGTTCGAGGCCAGCTTTGTCTGCATAATGAGTTACAGCCTGCACAGTGAGACCTTGTCGCAAAATTATAAAGAACAGCCAAAATGTAAAAGGATCACCCACAAATTCTAAGCAGTGAGTTCCAGGCCAGCTATGATAACACAGACACAGCACACACAAAGAGATAGAAATGAATATAATGAAACTTTGCTAAGAATAAGAGTTTTAAAAGAGGCTGGGCGTTGGTGGCGCACACCTTTGATCCCAGCACTCAGGAGGCAGAGACAGATGGATCTCTGAGTTCCAGGCCAGCCTGGTCTACAAAGCTACATACACAAAGAAACCCTGTTTTTTGTTTGTTCTTAAAGATTTTATGTATTTATTATGTATACAACATTCTGCTTCCATGTATATCTGTGCTCCAGAAGAGGGCACCAGATCCCATAATGGATGGTTGTGAGCCACCATGTGTTTGCTGGGAATTGAACTCAGGACCTCTGGAAGAGCAGTTGGTGCTCTTAACCTCTGAGCCATCTCTCCAACCTGAAAAACCCTGTTTTGAAAAACCAACC